TACTACAATTTATGATTTCAAATTTCTAGTACAGCTCCAGAAAGGGATTTTCAGATATGATCAAGGTCTTCGCGTTACTTATAATATTCACTGTCGGAAGAGTGGCACCTCAACTGTTTCCAATGAGTCCTGGAATGATGATGCCTGGAGCATATGGAGCGTACCCTATTATGCCCGGCATGTTACCAATGGGTGGTGTGGGTTAGCATCCTTTTTTTACATGACAGATTTCCAGCGATTAGTGAAATCTTAAGTTTAGACCCTCTCACGGGTGCTCTAATTGGAGCGATCGTAGGTGGTATTGCTGGAGCAGCAATGGGAGCTTGAGAACTAATTCTTTATTTCTGTATGTTTGATTACAATTAGATTTGATATAAGATCAATAAAGCACAGTAAACTAATTAGTTTGTGTATAGGCTTCTTTTAGGGAAATAAATCTTTCTTTGCGCTAGTACAAAAATTATAAGCGTGTGGTGAAAGCCGGAGACTTTTTTCGCTATCCTAACGACCGTTGTAGTAGTATCACATCAATCTGATGTGTACGACGGCACATTATGAAAATTTCAAAACGACTTTAAGCTTAAACATAACCTCACAATGCGATATCAATCTTGGTGTAGTTGATACTCCTCGCCACAAAATCTTGTGTAAGGTGCTGCCAGTAAAGAGCATATTTTGCCAAATCAAGTCAAAAAACCATTGTAAGCATAGAAATTCTGTACACGTTTACGTCAAGCTCATACGATCGATCTTCATCCAAATCAAACCTCAGCGGAGGTTTCCGGAGGGCAAGCCGGATTGTTTTAGCGAAAAAAGCAAAGAGGAAATCATATGGGGTCCGGAGAAGAGGCTGGAGTGCAAACCCATTTATGACTATTTTTTTTTCAACAACAAGAATGTAGAAGCTCCCCCACCCCTCTCGTTCCTATGTTCATACATGCGACCTAAGTATTTCCGTCTTACTCAATACTTAATTCAGTAATTCCCTAAACCTTAATGACCGTTCATCTGCTAGAGGTTCAACGTTCTTTTCAAAGCGGGCGTTTGCTGGGGTAATTGAGTTTCGAAACATTTGGATAAACCCGTTTTTCTAAGCGCATAGGCAATGAACAGCTAACAAAATTGGAAAGATGCGCAACAAAGATTAGAAAAAAAATTGCCGTACCTTTCTGTCATATAGGTCTCCGCGGAGACCTACGGGAGACCTCAGATCTCCAGTTAGCAGACACTTTTTTGTCTCTCATAAAATTCCTTATAGCAAATATTTACATGCACCTCTTGACCCAACTTATAGCGCAATAACCTGATCAAAGCACTTTCTCCCTTCTTTGCTAAGGCCCTAAATAGTTTTACCTTAGTAAAAAAACGCGCTCCAAATATACGACCTGTAGTGCTTGTCCTGATTGCACGCGTTTGTAAAGGGTAAAAAGGGAGCTTCGTATTCCCTAAAATTTCAAGCGGGTATTCGTTCTCGTAAGGTCCAATCGGAGACCTCGTGCCGAGGCCTGATCTAAATCGTATTTCTGAGATTACTCAAATACGGATATGAATGATTGAATGAATGCTTATCTTTGAGTACCGACTACTTGAATAATCGAATGATTATTCAAGCAGTCCGTCGAATGTTGGAATCGAAACCTAATTATTCAATCATAAGTGCTCATTACATAATGGACATCTAAATGTTTCCAACTTGAAGTTAATTTTTTTGTAAATTCGCACTTAAAGGTCATTGTCTTCCAGCTTGAAGTCAGTCTCTTCCAATCTATCTAGGAATGTTTTCAAAAATTTAAGTTTCTCGTTAATGTAACGTCGTAAATGGCTAGTGCTAGCGGCATTCGCCACGTTCGCGACCCGCTCAGTCCATGTTCAGTGCTGTCATTCGGTCCTGTTGTCGCAAATATGGGGACTACAACCATTTGTGGTATAGACTTATACTTATCTTGCGATCAGTGATGTGGATAATGGTCTAAGCAGTCAGCCAAAATTAAGATTTGAAGAATCAGAAATATGACCTGGGAAAAAGTCAATCATCTGATCTATATTATTCACCTTTACATCGACCATGAACACTTAAATTTAAAAAAGAAAGACTTGTCCTGCTGAGACAACCTATTGCATAACTTGAAGATCACTTTATGAAAAAATTGGCTAAACATGAGATAGAAAGCTCTATACACAATTGTAACTTTTAAAAGCTCAAAATTATGCGGATTGAGATGAAACAGAAACGGGCTAGAAGCTTTGAAATGGCAAACAATTTCTGCACAGTGAACTGTTGAATTGTGCGTCTTCGATGTGTAGCATACAATGTAACCCATGCGAGTTAGAGCATAGCGTGATCGAGCTCGATCTGGCAACAGTCTTTTCATGCGCTTGTTAATTCCCTCGCTCCTGTGGCCGACATCGCAATCCTCGCAACTCCTCGCATGCTACCAGCAACGACCGATGTTACGAGATGTTCGCATAGCTCTTTTCGGCGGCGTAGCAGGAGTTCCTAAAGCCTCGCCGCTTTTCCCCGGAGCAAGTAATTAGTCATATTGGGGGAACTTAACACCTTCCAAGGGCTAGGCTCTGGCTCCGCCCATTGCTCCGCCTACTGTCTGCCTACAGATTGGCCTCTGCAAAGCCGGGAG